TTTTGTGACACTGTTCCTATACTAACCACATGCTGTTACTGCTAATAAATCTAGAAGTTTGTTTGGAGAGGAGGGGGTTAAGAATAGGCTTTGTGTTTTTTTAAGATTTATTTACTTAATTTTATTTATCATTATTTTTTTTAAATTTGCTACAAGGCACATGTGCTCACCAGAGAGCGAGAAAGAGAGGGAGAGTGAGAAAGTAAGCCACCCTTATCTTTCTGTAAAGAGATAAAGGAAAGTGAGAAATTAAGCAACAAGGAGTGGAAACAGTCAGCCATGTGGGAGTCCAGCACCCCAGCCACCATGCCACCTGCTGGCCCCAAGAATATGTGTTGTTTTTTTAAAAATATTTTTTATTTTATTTAATTTTATTTGTTATTATTATTTATTTTTTAATTTGGCCAGAGACAGACAGCTTGATAGAGAGGAAGCAAAAGCAAGAAAGCAAGCCATCAGGTCCAGGACTCAAACTGTGGATGGCCATATGGGAGTCCAGTGCCTTAACCACCAATACCACCTGCTGGCCCCAAGAATATGATATAATTATTTTTTTAGAGGTTTTTTCTATAGGGTGTGTGCACTTGCCAGAAAGACAGAGAGAGACAGAGAGACAGAAAGCAAGAAATCAACCACTGGGGAGATGGCCACACCGCAATCCTTTCTCCTCCATTCTCCTCTCAGGATCTTGGGCACACACGCACGCACACGCACCCGGTGTGAGTTTAAGCCACTGGGTCTGGGATTTGAACTGTAGTCAACTACGTGAGAGTCCAGAGGCATAATCATTACGCCAACTGCTAGTCCCTATTTTATGATTTTTTAAAAGGTTTTTGCCATAGGGTGCACATGCTTGCTGGAGAGAGACAGAGACAGTGAACGTAAGAAATCATCCCCCAGGATGGCCATGCTGAGATCCCTTCTCCATTCTCCTGGGATTTTGGGTATGCACGGACATGAGCCTGGTGTGAGTTTCTAGTCACCAGGTTCGGGACTTGTACTGTGATCAGCCATGTGGAAATCCAGTGCCTTAACCACTATACCATTTGCTGACCCCTTAAGAATATGTTTATTTTTATAAATTATAATATGGCTACACAATGAAAGGTTATGTAGCTATTTATTTATTACTTTTTTAAATAATTATTTTCATTTAGCTGTATTTATTTGTTTATTTTTAATTTGACCAGAGAGGGACAGAGAAAGAGAGAGAGAGAAAGAGAAAGTGAGAAAGGAAGCCTTCAGGTCCAGGACTCAAACGGCGGTCGGCCACGTGGGAGGTTCGTGCCCTTAACCACCACGCCACCTGCCAGCCCCAATGCAGCTATTTAAAAGGAGATAAAGATATATGACTTATAGGAAATATCATCAAGATGTGACACCGAGAAAAGCAAGTCGTTAAACAAACGAAGAGCATGCTGCGGGCCTGACTGATGTGACTATACCATCACAGCTTGGAAGCATTACCAGAGAAACAGGGAAATGCTGGAAGGAGAAAGAAAAAAGAGGGAGTGAAGGGATAACTAAAAGGAGGATGAGTAAGAAAAGAAGAAATGGGAGAGAGAAAGGGAAAAAGCAAATCAAAAAATAAAGATCATGTGGTGGCATGTAAATGACACTAAATACCTGAGGACCACCCATTCATTTATGATATAAATATTTATGTTTCCATTCTAAACCTCTGTATTTTGGTCTTGTTTGTTTTTCTCCAGTTTTGCTCTAGGGCACATACACTCACTGGAGATGGGGATTAGGAAGGCCAAGAGAGAAATCACCCCCCAGGGAGGATGGCCATGCTACAATCCCTTCTCCTCCATTCTCCCATTGGGATCTTGGGCACGCACACACACTCTGCATGTTTTTCAAGCTGACTGGTGTGGAACTTGAACCATATGGCCATCCACATGCAATCTAGCTGCCTTAACCTCCACACTATTGGTTGACCCCCTCTGCTTCTTTAAGTTTGTTTTCTTCCTCTGATTCCCATATTTCATTGTCTATAATTCACTTGATCTGATAGGTTCATTATTTCTTCCATTTTTCTCTTTCTTTCTTTCTTTCTTTCTTTCTTTCTTTCTTTCTTTCTTTCTTTCTTTCTTTCTTCCTTCCTTCCTTCCTTCCTTCCTTCCTTCCTTCCTTCCTTCCTTTCTTTCTTTTTACATTTGTTTTTGCTAAAGGGCACATGGGCTCACTGGAGAGAGACCGAGATTGGTAGAGAGTAGGAAAGTGAGAAATCACCCCACCCAGGGGACTGGTCATACCACAAATCCTTCTCTTCCATTCTCCTCCTGAGATTTTGGGCACAAACACACAAGTGCCTGGCAGGTTTTTCAAGCCACTAGGTCTGGGACTCGAACAATGCAGTGGGCCATGTAGGATCCATTCATCTGAACCTTTGTGCTGGGGGGCCACCTTGGAGATCTTCTCTGGTCTGTTAATACTTCTCTGAGGCAGTTTTGAAAAAAAGACCAAGTCTAGGCCTGATTCCTAGCCGGCTGAATCAGAATCTCAAGGGTTTGTGCCAAGGGAGCATTTCTATTTTTATTTTGTTTATATATTTATGTATTTATTTGAAAGATTTTTGCTATAGGGCAGGTGTACTCACAGGATACACAGAGAGAGAGACAGAGTGAGAAATTCCTCCCCCCTCCCCCCAGGGGAGATGGCCATGCCACAATCCTTTCTCCAATCCCTTCTCCATTCTCCTCTTAGGATTCTGAGTATGCCTGGCATGAGTTTTAAGTCACCACATCTGGGACTCGAACTGCACTCAACCATATAGGAGTCCAGCACCTTAACTACTATGATGCCACCTGCTGGCTCCACATCTCTATTTTTAAAGCTCCACCAGTGACTCCAACTGTTCAGCTAAGATTTAGAAACACAGCTCTGGTCTCACTGTTTCATTTTACAGATAAGGACGGAGAAGCTCAAAGGGCTGAGGGTACTTGCCTAAGGTTGTTCTACCAGTTACATGGTGTCTCCCAAGTCCCAACTGCTGATCCAAAGTTCTTCCTACCATGCTCTTTTGCTTCCTCTTCTAGAACTTAGGGGTTTGCTGAAATTAAAGGTATACAAATTAGAGGCAAGGGAGAAAGGCCAGAGTCCATCAGTAAGGATTAGTAGGGCACTTCCTGAGAGTTCAGGTCAATCATGGGCTCTCTGAGGAGAGTTCTACCTAGGACATAGCTTCTGCTGAGTCTTAGTGATGGCAGGGCTGTCAACTGACAAAGGAGATGGTTACTACTGCAGTGCATATTAGTCCTGCCTCGGGCAGGTAACTTGCTCATGACTTAGCTTCGCCCATGACAGAAGACTTTCATTGACAAGTGTTCTCACTTTCAGGAATTTAATCACATTAAAGCAAATGATAACGGGAGCAGATCAGTGTTTCTTAGTATTTGAGTTGGGGTGAGAGTAACAGGTGGTTGGGAGGTAGAGGTGAGGGGAATCACTGGTCTCATTTGACAATTAATAGAAACTAGTTCCCCATTATCTCTAGTTTACTGTTATTCTATTTTTTTACTTCTAATTTTTTTCTTCCTGACTTTAAAAAAGACACTTCTTTCTGGAGAGGTTTTTTTGTTTGTTTGTTTTGTTTTTTTTTTCCCACTATAGGGCGCCTGCGCTCGCCAGACAGACAGAGAGAGACAGAGAGACAGAGAGCGAGAAATCACCCCCCAAGGGGGATGGCCACGCTGCAATCCCTTCTCCTCCATTCTCCTCTTGGGATCTTGGGCACGCACGCACATGCACCGAGTGTGAGTTCTAAGCCACCGGGTCCCGGACGTGAACCACGGTTGACTACGTGGGAGTCCCGCGACATAGCCATTACGCTAACTGCTGGTTCCCAAAAAGACACTTCTTTCTGAGCTCATTTGCCCCATTTAAGAAACAAGGTGTAACAGAGGTGGTCATTTAAATGTTGCACATAATTTCTGAGGATTCACCGATTCCTCTCCCACCCCTGTCCAAGTTCATTCATAGACCACCCCAACTAAGATCTCCTGGACTACATGGTTTTGAAACTCTATTTTAGTGTTTCTCCCTGTGGTCCAGGGACCACAGAATCAGAATCACTTAAGAGTGTTAAAAGCAACAAAGAAGTGAACAAAAAAAACCAGACTTGTGGGACTGCTACAGACCTACTGCTTCAGAATCTTTGGGAAATGAGGTACAGGAATTTCTGTGTTTAAAAAAAAAAAACCCAGATGATTATTTTGGAAACTAACATTTGGGAGTCAGAGCTTTATTCCAACTCGGGATTTTTATGGTTTGTGAATGAGTTCATCTGTTGAGTATTTTAGGTTTTGTCTGTTCACCTGTCAAGTATACGGAACAGTAGGTTTAGCACTCCTTAGAGAATAATTTATCTACATAGGAAAAAAAAAACATGTAGAAGGGTGTTAACAGTATCTCTCTCTTGGTAGTGGGATTATGGGTGATCTTTAACTTTTTCCTGTTATCTTTCTGTTTTTATTCCTCCGTCAGTTTTCTCTTCCTGTCTTTAAAAAAGACGCTTCTTCTTTCTGTGCTCAATTTCCCCATCTGAGAAACAGGATGTGACTCGGTGAACTTCAAGCCCTCGTCCTGCTTGGTGGTGAGCCACTCTGATAGCTCACTAGCTCCCTTCGCCATCTCCTAGCATGAACCGCATATGTAACAATCGCGTTTGGAGAATAATCATGCATTATTTCTGTATGCATTACTTCGAGATGCCTAGCAACTGTGTTGACGCCAGTCAAAATGATTCCTTTCTTCCTCTAGGAGCCGGAACCGAAATGATCTGCAGCTCTTAAAAGTTCAGCCTCTGCCTTTAGCCTTAGATTGTGCCGTCCGCGCACACCTCGCCTGGGTCTAAGAATGGTTGTGAACCAAAAAGCCAGGGCGTGGTCGCTCCGCCCACCAGCCCCGACATCACCTCCCCTCTCGCTGCTTTCAAGCGCAGGAATTGGTTGGGAACAAGAAAGAGCCCCGCCCTTAGTCTTATGACTCGCGCTGAAGTGCCGATTCCTGGCTTTTGCAGCGTCGTGGTCGGTGGTCAGCGGTGCTCTCGTCCCAGGGCCAGCGAGCCTTTCCCTCGGTCGTGCTGCTCTCCCGCCGCCGCCGCTGCCTCCTGCGCTGCGGGATCATGGTGTGCTTCCGTTTCTCTACGGTTCCGGGCTCGGGGCTCGTTCTGCTCTGCCTCATCTTGGGTGAGTAGTCGGGGCCCTCCGGCTTAATCTCCCAGCCTGGGCCCGGGGCGACAGTTCAAAGGCCACAACCTGAAAGACTGGTCTGGGGGGGAGGGGGTGGAGAAGCTTGGCAGCTGACACTGGGCGGCGGCGGTTGGCCCGGGGAGGACGAGCGGTGACCTAGAGAAGGCCTGACCCAGGGATGGCAGGGAAGGAGGGCCCATGAGAGTAACCGAAGGGGCAAGTCAGGAGGGGTGAACGCCGAGGGAGCTGGCCGGGGAGAGGACTGAGTGGAGGAGGTCGGGTAAAAAGACCAACTTGGGGAAGACACTGAGGAGTCAGCGTAGGAGGGCGCTATATGCAGATTCGGGGGCGGCCGAGATGATTAGCAGGGTCCTGGTTTCCCGGGATCAATGTAGACTTTTGAAGATTGTGGCCAAACTATGGGGTGAGAAAGAAAATTGGGAAGGAAGGGGTAGGGCTTCCGTGGAGAAGCAGAGGGAAGAGTGTGGGTGGGGGGGCAGATAGGACAGTAGAGGCTGGGGGGGAGGGGGAGGAATGGG